GTCTCTGGCCTTATGAACTAACTGGGAGATGGGTCTGGAGTGGGTGACACTCCGTGGTTTGGGTGGATGCTTTGCTTCCCAGCTTCACAAGAAATCTGGGGGGTTGCAGCTTTTGGGGGGTTTGCGGGTTTTTTTAATCCTAATACAGATTATCAATGTTTTTGATATTTCCAATGAAGTTTAACAGATGAGGGAGAAGATTCCTAACAAATGCTGATCATAACATCAGTGAGCAAGAAATGAGTGAAGTCATGGTGACTGTTGGAGCACCATGAATCTTGAGAAAAAGATGCCTTTTTCTGGACCAGCATAAGTGGTATTTTTAGTACTCAAATATCCAAAAGCAAGAACTGCAGGAGGGAAATGCAAAGAATAAAGGACAAGTAAACTGTGAAGGGCCTGGAGCTACCAGTTGTTGTCATGAGTTTGATGCTGTGCTATCTGAGCAGAATGTACCTCTAAATATTGGCTTTCGTTTGACTCGCTGAGCAACTAATTTTGTGACAGACTGGTAGTTGACTGGATAGTGCAGTTTATTCCCATAAGAATGTAAGTTGATAGCAGACTAACCCACCTTTGTGCATTTGCTTGCCATCTCAAACAGGCTTTTATTTAGTACCTTTACTCAAAAGAGAGAGTGAGTAAATAATGACAGGCAAAAAAAAAGCCCTCAGTGTTAAAAACGAACAATTAAAACTCCATTGGATGCTAATGGATTAATTTTTCATGGTGTTAAAATACAATGGGCATACTCACCATAGTTCTTTCAGCGTTTAGCATGTTCATCTGTGTCTGAACACACATATTTAATGAGTTTGTCCCCTTGTTTAATTTAAACCTATTAAATTACTAAAGAGATCTGTCCTGGCAGCCTGTGGTGGTGGGGAAGAAGATGCTAAAACCATTCTGTTTGTGAACAGAAGGTATTCTAAATTCAAAACATGTCATAATTGTTCTCAAGCAAAAGCTGCACTCAGCCTGTCATGAGTTAATGCCAAAGCCATTTTTGTAGCCACTGTTCGAGGGAGAAGACATCTTAATTAACCTCTGCCTTTGTTAAGGACATCAGAAAAGCTACTGACAGAGTGTGCATGCTAACTGCAATCATGCATCCTGCTGTTGCCACTGACATGAAAAAAAAGCAATAAAAGCTGGCTGCAAATGGCTGCTGTCACACAGGTTGCTGTTGAAGAGAGGAATGAGAAGCTGTTGCTTTGTCCATTCAGTATAAGGTTTTTGAATTTTTAGCAACAACCTCTAATAACTACAAGTCAGAATAATTCTTTCCGGGGTGGAGCACTGCAGACTTGTCATTCAACATCAGAAGTCAAGGCACAAAATAAAATCAATAAAAATCATTAGGAGATGTTGAACTGTCCTTTGATTTTGATCCACGGTGAAGTTTGCTGGTTTGTTTTTTTTCCCCCTGAAGTCAAGGTGTTTAAAATTAAATAGAAGCGGTACTATTCACATAATCTGGCTGTGGCGGCTAGGACTTTTAAGAGAACTAGTAGCAAAAAAATCTATAATAAAATCACGAGAGCTGTCAACTCTTTGATTAAGTCGTCTGCTCTCATCCTGTTTATTTGTGTTTTATTATTTTGCTGTATTCTCTTGACATTCCCATTCTCTTTCATGTGGGAAGAAAAAAGCGTGTGGGTTGTAAAGGATAAGGGTAATTGGTGGTCCGTCTGCCCGTGTCACTGCAGTGGGAGTTAAAAACCGTAAAGTATCCAGTGCACTTGCAGACAGGCAGCATCAGTCTTCTGATGATATTTCTGGGCATTGCTGGTCACTCCTGCTTTCTAGCAGTTAGTGAAAAAAAAAAGAAAAAAAAAAAAAAAACCAAAACCCAAAAAAACTGTGTGGTCAAGAAGGATTTGAGAAACTCATTTGCAAAGCATCCACAGCTGAGGCAGTTCCTGTAATATTATTAGGTGACAATGGGTAGATAAAATGCTACTACTGTATTTCTCTTCTCTGCTTGCTGCCCAGGTGTCTCAAAAAGGACCTGAAAGAGTCATTTATGTTTCTTCAAGGAAAAGAGATCAATTCCTTGCCTGACAGGATTGTCTGCTTCCTCTTGGAGATATTCACCTTGAGGCTGTACGGAGGAGTCTTTTTCACTATTGCTTATTGCCACTTGCATTGAGATTAATGAGTCATTTCCTGCAACTCCATCACTAAATCTGGGTTGCTTTTTGGCTAAGTTCAAAGAAATACTTTGTCGTCCAGTTCCCCCAGTTTTTTGAGCACTGTTTAGCTAAAATATTTAGTTGTTATTTACTTTGATTTGTAGATCCAAAGTGCTGTGATATACATTAACTAAATATTACCATCAAAAACTAGTAAAAAAATACATTATTAAATTACTTGTCAGGAGTAAAAGTTTTAATCTTGCTAAAGACAGGGAGGATCTTAAGGTAGAAAAGATGTTCTTAGGAGAGTGAGTAAAAAATGGTTCTAATAGTCCACATTAAAAAAGTAAAAAGAAAGTCACAGTTGCTACATCTCATGGGGAAAAAAAGTTTTTTTTTTTTTTCATTTAGTAGTCTACAGAGATCTACTTTGCACAATGAAAATATTAATTACTGTCATCTCATTAGTAGTAAATTCCAGTCTTCAATGAAACATTCAAGTGAAAGAGCCATGTTTTGGGACAGTTCTGTTCAGTTCCCTGACAAATGAAGCCATTAAAACGGCATACAAGTGAGATAAAACACATGACTGGGATCCTCTGGTCTTATGCTATAATAGTTATTATTTTGTTGTGTTTGGAATTGTTTGAACAAATAAGTGGGGAATTCATATTCTGTCTCATCACGCATAGCCTGAAATGCTAGCTGAAATGCATAGCCATCCACCAAATTATTTTAATTCAGATATAATTTTGGATAGCTGGTAATGCAAGATTAACTTTAAATAATGCTTTTGGTGAAAATGTAGACAAATGATTGTGTGATTACTTGTTAGAAAGTAGATTTTGTCTGTGAACTTAGAAAAATGAATAGAATGAGTAGAAAAAAACAACTTTGAACGTCACTTCTACGTTTTGCATTTTTCCCTTGAAGCAGTAGGTTTAAACAGCTGGTTGACTGTACTTTGCCTTCCTATGAGATACTTCTTTGAGCTAGAAGTGATGATAAAGAATCATTTATTCATGATTCTTTGGGTGCAGAAACTGTGATATTTTTCTTGTGAATACTTTTTAAAGCTCTAGTTTTAATAATATTTTAAAAAATATTTTTCTTTAGTCTTTTAAGATGCCATTTTAATATATGTAAAGCAAGTATGTTTAAAATAATAAATTTGGAAGTGCACATTGAAAGCATGTGTTGATAGGAACAGTGGCTGTGTAAGAGGAACTCACTTTTCATTTTTAAATTGTGAAAATACTTTAGGGTTGCCTGATGAAGTTGACTGAGACAGTACATCCAAAGAAAATACAGGTTATTCTGTTTAGAACTTTTAAAAATATATATTATTGAGTATTATATTAAGACAGAGAAACTCTTGCTAATGTAAAAATTCATGGAAAGCAAAATCTGCAGATAAAAGAAAAAAGTTGTAATATGCTTATGTGTTGATCATCAAATGTTTATGTTATTTATTTCCATGTCTCAAAACTCTTACAGTGTTAATATTTATAGTAACAGTTTTTATTACATTTACAGTTTAATCTTATATTTTTAATTTAGATGGGTTTATTGTTTAATATGACTTTTTAATTTGTGTAGACAAGAAAAGCTTAACATTTTCATAATCATTTCATGGAACTGAGCCTTTATAGAAAATTTCAGAGCATTCCACTCAGAGGCAGTTTTGTGTATTAGTGTTTAATTTCACCTCCCCTTAGGATACTATAAGTAACTCAGCATGTTTGATTGTGAGAGCAATTATACACAAATTCAAGGAGGATTTTATGTTCTGGCCACAAGGTTTCATGGAAATAATTTCTGTCTTCCTTAGAAGTTCACCTGTTCATTTTATTATACATATGTCTCAAAATCTTCATGATTTTAGATCATTTTTGTGGAGATAAGCACGATATGACATAGATGCTTTTAATGACAATGCCCCCACAAGTTTATGTACTGGCTGCCTGGAGCTGGGCATAAAAGTTTAACAATGCTAGTACCAATATCACGCGGAGGTAGTGCTGTTGATTTTTTTCCTCATCACTGAATTAGTTCTGCAGCAGCTTAATTTGTGATTTGGTAAGGCACTATCCTTGAGATGAATCATAAAGTGTGGCTTGGCAGCCACTGCCCAACTCTTGGCAATTTTCATAAATGCAGAGTATTAAACAAGGTAGCTTAACTGTTCAGCTACCTGATTTTCCCGTATACTTTTAGCTTACTAAGGTTTTTTTTTCAGGTTTTTTTCCTCTGTTGAAGGAAGGTTGTGTCTTCCCCTGACTGTGGGTGTTATTCCCTGGTGGGTGGGAGAGGTCAGGTGAATTGTATCTGCTCCTAGATTGGTAAAATATTTTTGGTAACTCTTCAGATGGGACTGTTATGAAGTATTATACCAGATAAATTTATCACTTTTGGTAGAGAGTGAAAAGAGACAGATCTTTTCCTCCAAGTGTCCTTAAAACTGATGGGAAGTATAGTAAGTTGCTAACACATATGAAACGAGTAGGGTGTTTTAAACATTTTGTTAGTGTCTGTAAGGCTCTATACTCGTTCCTGAAGTCTAAAATTTTTGCAGGGCTTAATCTGGTGTAAGTCTTCTGACTACGGGAGTTTGGGGTGTTCTTTTTTGCTGTGTTTTACCTGTGTTAATTATAATGAAGGATGTTGGAGGCAGAGAACAGGACAAGCAACTGACTCTGTGGTGAAATTCTTCTCCATTTCCATAAGGACCCATCCTGTTTTAGTGCTTACTTTTAAGACAGCAATGCTACTTCACCAAACTTCCTCCTACAGTGAGAGAAGTAGGGCTAACTCTTGGAAAAAGTTTTGAGGCTAGTGACAAAATATGTTTGTCTTTCAGATCCCCAGCTCAAGGGTATAGTGACCAGGTTATATTGCAGGCAAGGCTACTACTTGCAAATGCACCCCGATGGAAGTCTCGATGGAACCAAGGATGACAGCAGTAATTCTAGTAAGTGACTGCCCCAGGGGAATGTCTTAATCGCACACGCATCGAGTGTGTACGCGCAGACACAGTGTTAATGCCTTTGGAGGGTTTCTGAATGTGTTTTGTTGAAAGGAGAAGGGTTCTCTCCATTTGAAGCCTGATGACCACCAGCACGGCTCATGCAGGGCATTGGCCTAAATGTGTTCCCTCTGAAGGGGAAGGCGTAAGTGCCAATGCACCTCAGGGGTGAGGTATTTAGGCCAACGACTGTCTTCTGGTAATTTTATAGAAACGGTAAAAATATATTAAAAATATTTTCTATAAAAGCTATTTATTTAGCATAAATTTCTTATATTTGAATAAATAACAAAAAAAAAAAAAAGAGATGGAAACAAAAATTCCTTGAAAAATCCAATCATATAGGCCCTGATTCAGCAAAGCAAATAAGTGTATGTTCAATTGTCAAAGTCCTGCTTAAAACACATGATGAAGTACCTTGCTGAACTGGGGCTAAAGATCCTACAGTCCCTATATGAGCAAGAGTTCCAATGATTTTAAGTGAATTTCTGCCAATGTAGAAACTGCAACTGTGGCAGTTTTCAAAAATATTCCAAACAAAAGTGGTCTTGAAAGGCTGTGTGGGTCACTGCTTTGGTACTCTTTTCCTATGATTCTGCCACATATTTTCATTCAATGAGCATAAATATGTTTGATAACTTCAGCTGCAAATGATAATTAAGCAAACCTATTCTTACTCTACAAACAGATGGTTTTTAATTTTCTGTTTAGCAGAGAATATTTGTATTTTCTTTATTTTAATGATAATGGCATATTTAAGTAACATTTCTGTGTGATCTTGAGGTTTATTTTAAGTATTTTTAATACAAAATTTTTATCTTCTTATTATGCATATATAAATAAACCATTAGTTTCTTCAAAAATGTTGGAATTAGGCTATAGAAATTAAGTGATTTGAGCTTTCTGCTTTACTTTTGTTAAGTCCCTATTTTATCTATTAATGCATGGCTGACATTTTTAACACATTTCATCAACAGATAGCATGATCATCTTTCACTGTTCTAATTTTTTTTTTAGAATTGAGAAAAATAGTTTATTAATCTATTTTTATGTGTATTTCTTTGCTTGTTTTCCAACCTTTTTTTTTTCTCCCTGTTCCTTGTTTATTTTCTTCCCTCAATGTGTCCATCTCTCATGCCCACTTCTATACTGGACTAGATTGGAAGATCTTGTACAAACAAGATCATTATAGCTTTTTATAGAAGCTTTGCCTATATGAGGTCCGAGAAATGTGTCTTAGAGCGTGACCGTGTATTTTTCTCTCCCTCTCCTTCTCTCTCTGCCCATCTCTCTCTTATTTTCCGCTTCAGTGAGGAGGTGTGTATGACTGCAACAATTTTGGAATGTTTGAATGTTTTTTTTAATCTTGGAACTCTAGGGATTTTGAATCTTTGCAAAACTAGACCACAGTGCCTTACTTTCCTCTTTTGGCTGTTGTCAGCTTTACAAATCTTCCTTTTTTTTTTTTTGCTTACTATGTCATTTTCCCTTTCTCTCCCCTCTTCCCCGCCTTTCTGGATTTCCACCTGTCTGGACATCTCTTATTCTTGTTGTTCCAAAATGCAGAATGAATATTCCATATTATAAATATTCTGAAATACAGAACTTGTCCAAACTCAACCAAATACCAGATAGCAGTGTTGCATATTTTGGATAAATACTGTTAGATAATATTGTGTTTTACCTCAACATGATTTTTAGGGTAAAATGTGTTTTCTTCATAAAGTGATTTTCTTCTGTCTTTAACTGGTGTGATTCACTCATTGTTTCTTCACTAATCCAATTTTACAATATTGTTTAGTAAAGATGGTTTAGACCATAAGGATGTAAGATTAATGTCTTTGCCAGGAAAGCATTCAATCTTCACTTTAAATTTTGCCATTATATATGTATCAACAGTATATTAAGAGCTGAAAAGACTGATCTATTGGTATATTCATAAATATATGAATATGTGTCTGTTTCTTTTGTGCTGTCAGTCTTTCTTCTCAGTTCTTTTCCCTTTCCACTCTCTTTCCTTGCATTTCCTTTTGAACTTTTTGTTTCCTATTGCTTTTCTTTATTGAAGCATATTTTTTTTTCTTTTTCTTTTTCTCTTTTACATTAAAACAATAATTTTCTCATGGATAGAATTCCTAGTATTTTGATCTTTTATTTTGTGAGCTCCATATCATGATAATTTCTGTCTGAGGCTTACTGGTAAATAAGTTTTGGCAGCTGCCAGAGGGGGAAAATCTGACCATGTGCTTGCAGGCTGCCTATTTAATGTGCCTAGTAGATGAAGGGATGGACATATATTAGCTGTCACTAGGACAGATGGTACACTTACCTTGATAGTGAGGATGACTTCCATTCAAAGTGTGTTTCATAAAAATGGAGGAAATACAGACTGCCAAAGGGTGTCTGCAGCTTTCCACCTGTCCTGTGCACCATTCACTGTCCCTGGAGCCTGTGAAAGAGTCCTCCTCATGCATTGACCGTCTGAGTAGCTGGGTGTTGGAGAAACTGGAGCGAGTCAGTAGCAAGGGACAGAGAAGAGAAGCGATTTCTTTTTTGTCTTCAGCAAAGAAACTGTTTGAAGCTTAGTCATGCTGCTACTTTTTGTGCTGTTTCAATTTATTCTGTGTCAAGCAGTTAGAGGAGTGCTTGAAGTTAAAATTCCCTCAAGTGCATATATAATTTTGTACTCATTTTATATGTATGCCAGTAGACATAAGTCACACACTATTGGAGTCACATTGTTATGGAGGGGTAGCGCAAAGTAAGATTAAGATGTAGTCTGTTCAAATTGAGTGGTTCTGTTCATAGCCATGTTTTGTTTGTATTTAAAGCTTCTTGGTAGTCTCTTTAATGTGACTTTTTGCTTCTATTTGAAGTCAAAATGAGTTTTGACAGTGGTTTCAGTCAGCTGCTATAGTGCAAGCCATTGTCCTGGCTTGCCTTAAGTTTGAGTAAAGGCTAGATTCTGCAGAGACAGATGGCAAGATTTTGAATGTGTTGCTGCACACAAACCCTTGTATGAAAAAGGAAGAAGGATGTGACTGCTTGTAATTGCGTCCCTGAATGTACTTTTGTCTGCTCATGTTGGTGGCCATGCTATTAGAACCCAACCTAAACAGATTGATGGGCTTCAGTCCATTGTTGTGATTTCTTTTTATATCTTTTCCAAGTTAATGATTTTTTGTGACAGAGTATGAATTAATGCACCTGCTGGTTAGTGGTGCTGTGTTTCCTAAAATCACATCACCAGACCAGGGTGCATACAGTCTCTATTTTTTTGCCAAACTATCAGTGATATGTGGAAAGAGGCTTTATTGCATTACTTTTCTTGTTTTAGCTGGTTTTCTTCTTCCTTCAATGCCTTACAGTTTCTGGTTTGGTTTTGTGGGTTGCTTGTAGGGAAGTCAGGACTGTGGTTAAAGCTGTAGGCTTGGTTACTGAGGTCTTACTAAGTATAGTCCCTCTCTAGCTCTAATTTTCCTGGATTTTACCACAGTTCTTAGCATTACATGGTGCAAATGGAACTTGCTTCAGTGTTGTCCATGGGCCTCATAATTATCAATTAGGAAAAACAAGCTACTACACAGAAACTATAAAGAAATAGAAGATATTTCCGTGTTTTGCTGGTGGTAACAATCGTTATGTTCCCCTCCTGTCCTCCTCCGCACCCAAAACGGCTCGTTTTCAGGCTTTGGTCTATCTTCAAAGTTTTGTCCCATGAATGAAGGGACGGTTTAGTAGGAAGACTTAATTAATTTTAACATTCAAATATTGCTCTTTGTGTCCCTTATGAAATTACATTAATGTTTAAAACAGATCAAAAGAGCATTACTCATTTGTAGCCTTATTTCATAAACTGATAAATGCGTAAGTTAACATTACCCAAGCAACTTTGATTTGGCTGTGCTGTGCACATTTCTTGCTTAATTATGCAGCAAGATGCTTCCATCATTGCACTTGCTACCTGCTAGAGTTGCTGTTCAAGAAATCAATCAACCATTCAACATTCCTTTATGCATCTTTTAATGCATTCTCCTAATGCTGCATTTATACCTTCCAAATTGAATATGGAAGTATTAACTTTTTTATGCCTTTCTAAAGTACCTATCACTATCATATTTTTGTTTAAAGATATTAATAAAACATATTCACAGCACTCTTGTGAGGTAAAGCAGATAATTAAACAGAAGTAAACTACATGAAGATTAAAAAACAACACCTGCAATGCTGTTAAATTTGGATTACTGAACAAGTATTTGCAGTCTGATTTTTGCACTGTTTTTTACTGCAGTTTATCTTCAAAGAATTACACAGGCATTTAGTCATCTGTTTATATCACCTTTGGGAGTTAGGTAAGCCTATTTCTCCCATCAGTATAATCTTAGTCAGTGTGACAGGATCAGTGGAGGCCATGTTCAGCCATACTAAAAAGTATGTTTTAGTTACATCTTGTGTAACACCAGGCAGGTAGAATGGTTTGCTCCATAAGAAATGGATGGACAGATGTCTGAATACCAACCTCCCTGCGCTCACTGCCAATCTAAAAGATGTTCTTATAGAGTCATCATTTAGGCTTGCAGGTGGAAATGAATTAAAGAAATAGTTGCCTTGATCTGATTGCAGGTTTGGTGATGTGGGAAGTTTTGTTAACTGACACCAGGGCAGTGCACATGCAGAACAGATAGCAAGTGTATAAGCATTAAGAAATTGGTCTCTAGCAAGCTTCTTGAGAAAAACAGTGATCTGTAATGGCAATTTTCTTGTAGCTACAACTCAGTTATACCTAAACAGACTTTCACAAGGATATAGAAATGTCTGATTTCAGGCATTTCAAATTTCAAGTTAATAGACTGTGATGGTATTACATTAATAAAAAGGAAAAAAATGTAGTGGATTTGTGTTTTTGTCAAGGAAGGAGTTATTACTTATCAAAAGGTGGAGATTAACTTTGGGTAAAACTTTTGGAGGATTAGAATCCAACACAATTTAGTTCCTGCAAATCCTTTCCACAACTCTTAAAACAATAAAATTTTTCATGCAGTTTGTTCCTGTTACTGCCCCCCGCCTCCATTTTCTGATCTTGTGTGTGGTGGGAGTAGGCTTGCAGGCTTTGGAAAACTAAGAGAAACCGTTTGCTTTACAGTCGTGGTTTAGACGGAATACAAAGCAAAGCCAAGAGAGCGTGCACAGGCTCAGTACTGACAAGGAGAAATGGTTTTACTCCCACTGTTTTTGCCAATTGGTTCACTTGATTTCACTGATGTTCCCACATATTATTTACAGTTGGATTTCCCAGGCTTTATACTTAAGCCTGCAGAATGGGAGCACTGAGCACCAGGCAGAATTGTATTTCCTGGGATGTTCCAGGGTACTCCCTTTCTCAACTTGTCTGTGGACTCACCGGGATGGGTGTAGGTACATAAGGATGTTCAGGGATGTCACTCCTCACTTAGTTTTGGTTTTGGATCACTGTCTTAAAAGTAGAGGGAAGCTGGGGGCGTGGTTCTTTTTCACCCACCCCGGGTAGGGGCAAAGCTTTGGCCATGCAGACCTGAAAGGCCAACAAATTCTGGAAGGCTTTCTGCTTTTCTCAAGGCAGGCTCTTATTAGTGTGGAGGATAGCACAGGTGAATCCTAGGAAGGTTTGAAATGTGTAATTGGGCGCAGAAGTCCCGCTCAGTAGAGTATTTCACAGCCAGGCTCTGCAGGAAATTGAATTTCCTTTGGCCAGCTTCAGAGCACATAAAAACCCCATGCTGTGCCTTACTGGTGCATGTTTTGCTGACCTCAGTATGAAGCACATTGCTGAGCATTTATCAAGCAATAATTGAATGTAGAATGGCCTGCCTAGTTTCACCCAAGTCTGAAAGATTTTCTGGAAGTTACTAAATATTCTGTATGTGCAGAATTACAGTGTTTCAGATCACACTCTAGAGTTTTATGGTTTTAGACTAATTATAGGAGCTCTGACAATCTCCAATTAAAACTTGGTGTCAGTAAAAGATACATTATATACACTCACCGGTGCTTTCTAAATTCACCGGCAACTATAAGCTGCTCTAGTAGTTTTACAGGTTGCATAGAACACTGCCATGTTACAGGTGTCTAATTCTCCTTCAATGGTGGTTGGGTTTTTTCTAGCTTTGCTACTTTATTTTGATTAGAAATACAGCAAATTATATCTACGTTCCAGAAGTTTTGACTGTACAACTATGATTTGGAGTTCTTTTTTCAATGGTAGTTTTCCATGGCTGACTTGTCTTTTGTGTTCACCTCTTTTCTTTATACAAGTATTGTTTGTTTTTCCTTCCTGATGTCCCCTCAGTTGTTGCTGCCCTCCCTCTAGCATGGTGTTCATATCCAGTTTTCCTCCTGGAATTTATTTTCTTCTAGAAAAAAAACAAACTTAACTGCCATCTGAACCCTAGTTTTGCTGTGGCAGACTCCCCCTTCACTACCCACAATAGTGGTTTTGCTGGTTTTGACATTGTTTCATTTGAGGGTAATGGCTGATTGTTTTCTAACTTCCAGGTTAAATTGAATATTTGAAAGCCCTCAAGTCAGTCAGTGTTCAGCCTGTATACTCTTAGGATATCTTGTATGTGAGTGCCCTAGTTCAATATTCTACATTTACCTTGTATAGATGAGAGAGGGAACCTTGTCTGCATCCAGTATTTTTCTAGTTAACAGCCCAGTAAGATCCTAGCACGATGGAGACTTTTGGAAACTACAGAAATGAAAATGCTATATATTTGTGCTAATTCTTGTCTGATATAATCTCTTTTACTCTTCTTTGTAAACCCATAAATTTGTTTTTTGTTCTTCCAGAGCTCTTTTGAATATATTTTTCTTTCTACAGCTGTAGAAAGTGCTCTGCTACAGCAATTCCCAGCTTTATACTGCCTTTCTGCACTCCTGAAAAGATCTTTTGTTACATATTCTTTTTCTGTGTGACAATTTTGAAAGAAAGGGGCTTTTTTCCCCATCCATTTCTATCTCTAAATTCTAGTAGTCAACCCATGTTTTTTCTCAGTTATAAAGATTTGATCATCTTCATCATAAATGATCTGTGGTTTTGTGTCCTGTGACCAACCAGGAGTTTTAGCACCTGAGAAAATCTGCTTATTCACTGCAATTACATGACCCTTTTTATCTTGGTTTGGTCTTTACTGCTGGCATTCTGATTACAGATAGCCTCATAGGGTACACTTTCTGGTCACACCTATGGATGTCCATCCTAAATTTTGAGGAACTCACTGTAGGTGTTACTGTGTTCCTGAGACCTAGCTTGGTGGGACCACAGTCCTCACTGCATATGTTGAACACACAGGTTGTGCTTTTGGTTTTCTTCCAAGGACTTGTGAATCCTTGACTCATCCACAGTGGAAAAGCACTTAACACGAACTCTGTCTCATCCAGATATTTTCTTCCAAGACTCTTTGATGTGTGCTTTGCATCTGATTTTCTATCTCATCTGATGAGTCAGTAAATTTAGTATAGGTGTGTGCTGGCATAATTTTTAGAAGAGTTGGTCCCTGTCTTCTGCTTATATCACATTTTCTTTTGTCGTTCTGTGGTGGGGCTGGTAAACTGCTCTTCACACCAGGATTTTTCAGACTCCAATCAAAGCTGTGGCTGTTTCTGTTATTACAGAGGTATATACCATTGCTAAAGTATCTTCTATTAGCTGGCTTTTTTTTTCCCCTGGAATTTCAGTCTTTGAACATGTTCTATACTCATCGCAAATAGCATTTATGCACTTTTAGAGTCAAACACATATTTCAGTGCTTTTCTGAACCAGGACAAGCCTCTGCCATTACCTGAGGCCTGTGTACTACTGCTTGTGTCAAATATATCATTCACAAAAGCAAAACAAAAATTTTGATTTGAAATCACACACCCTTTGAAAGCAATCTTTAATGAGAGCACATCTTAAGCCAAAACCATAAAATGCCTAAGAAAACAAGCAAAACAAACCCCTACTTACCAGAATCAGAGAGAGATTTTTCTGCAGGATATCTCACAATTATTACCCTTAAGATCAGTCTACATTCACGAAGGAACTGTTGGGCTCTTTGACTCTTTTCAGATTGTCTGAGATACTCGTGTCTGTAGTGCTGCATAAATGATTGCAGTCCAGTCTGCTGTGCTTTGTATTTGCTAGTTAGCACTTGTGCCAAATACTGAACTATTGCAGGACTTCTTACTAGATAGATACGTAGGCTTTAATTTTAAGGATTAACTTTACTAGAAGCAAGATTTTCTGAATTAGTTTAATCTTAACATCAGGAAAAAAAAAAAGTAATAGTTTTCTTTCTTTTTACTAATGATGTTTATTAGAATATTGTAATAACCATAGTATATTTGTATCTGATTGTGTTTTTTTCTTCACAGCATTATTCAACCTTATACCAGTGGGACTTCGAGTTGTTGCTATCCAGGGTGTAAAGACTGGGTTGTATATAGCCATAAATGGAGAAGGTTTCCTCTACACATCAGTAAGTACCTTTCTGAACTCTGTTTAAGAGGCACAGCTGAAGTTGAAATCTGCACAGGAATGAGGTGCATCTTCATTTTTAAGAAGTTCTATAATGTCTATATATATATATATACATATAGTACACATACCTGTGCACCCTTGTATGTATGCAGCATATCTATAAATGAGATACAGTAGAAATTACTGTATGCTATGTATGAAAGTCTCCAAGCTATCAGTCCTAAAAAACCATCCTGTTGAGCTCTTTTGCTGGTAGACTATACTGGTACTGTGCAATACACCACACAGATTATTATTTTCAATTACATTCTCCAGAATTTTTAAATAAAGACCTGCAATTATTTTCTTAGTGACTTGTTGATCAGAATCCAAAAGCTGCTCCAACATTTACTTTTACTGATAAGACTTACAAGTGCAACTTCCGTCTAAAAAGTCATTAACAGTCTTACAGTTTATCACCATAATCTTGTAATGGTATGCTTAGCAATATTGATTTTTTTTTTTTTTAAATTTTGGATATCAGGAAAATAAAGAGTTCTGTGAGGGACTATGTCTTTGCAGAATGATCAAAGTTTAAGAAAAAAATCTTTTGAGTCACAAAGAAGACTGCTAGATAAAGTGATCGGAAAGTCCTCAAATTCTTTAAGATATTCTAAATGATTTAATGCTAATCATTCAGTGTGTTGTTGTAAATATAAAAATCCTCAGTTTTGTGTAAATTTAGTGTTTCAACTTCCTTTGAAAGGCAAACAGACTTTAATAAGAACAGACAGTTCTGTCAGGTATTAACAAGGTGGCTTAAAGGATTTTTCATTACTATATTTTTATTGCTGTCTATGTTGAATTCATTTACATAGTGCTTTTTCCATTTTTTTTACATCACATAGTTCTTAATTCCCCACTGAGTTACAATACACTGCTTTGTTCTCAGTGTCCATTGAAAGGAAATGGGACAGATTAAGTTTTTGATGCCCGGAGAGAAAGTATTCTGTTTGTTTCAAATATGCAATTGTCTTGAAAAAGCTAATTAGGAAGAAAAACTGGAACTAATCTTGAATGTCAATGTCAAGACAAAGAGAAAATTCCTCCTCATAAAATGTCTGCTGGAAACTCCAGCAGTATGATCTAGAACATTTATTTTCTTCTGTTCAAAATAAAAAAATCTGTCACAGGAAAACATGCAATATTTGCTGTCAGAAGGAAGAAAGCTAGAAGAAACCTGAAACTAGAGAAAATTCATTGCTGTCTTCCCAGTTCCATCAATTCATGTGGGGAGTTCTTTTCAGTATGATGGCGTTAACAGTACTTTTTTAATATGTTTGTACAGCTAAGAGTACATTCTTGCCCAGCATTGTTTCTGGAGTGAGTTCTGAGTCATTTGGAAAGAAATATAAATTTCAGAAAATGTACCGGTTTCCTGATGGGTAACTCTGCGCAGGGAGTGACCCTACAGGAACAAATTCTGGCAGCCACTGTGTTTATGTACTGTTCTGGAGATGGTCCAAGTTAAATGTATAGTGTCATCTGAGGAAGGGAAAGGAGTGGAAAGTACAAGGTAAGATAAAAAGAGATGGCTGGATCCAAACTTTGAATAGATGTGAACCCGATCCATAGAACATCCTCAGGTCTAACAAGATATTTCTGTCATGCCAGTGGGAATGTGAATTACTTTGTTCCTATGTCTTCTTTTTGAGCAACACAGATTACTTAGGTTGTGATCAGTCTCATGGATATAAAGAAAATATTCTGTATAAGGAAAATGTAATCCACGTGTTTAATGTTTTGCAGGATTGCATATTCTTCATTGCTGCTAATGGCAAGATTTTTGGACTTGATAACTTCATATATTTCTGTAGTTATTGGAAACTTGTTAAGTACTTCTGATTTTTTTTCTGTGAATGTTGTCATGTTTTGAGTGTATTTCACTTAAAAATTTCTTGGGAGAGTGTCTCAATCTGTCACTTTACCCTGTGTGAGGTAAGGAAACAAGTGTTTTTGGAATGTACTACTTACTCTTCCTCGTGTGGAGAATGAAAGATGAGTGGCCCATAAAGTGATAAAGAGATGTGACACATAGAAAACTGAGTGGAAACCTTTAGTTTTGGTATGTCTACAAAATTATTTTCAACTTACACTTTTGTCAAGTTGAAAAAGAATAATATTTGGTAATCTAATACAAATTTAAAGGCAGTGATTTCAAAACATCAGTGCTGTAATACAGGTTTGATTGTTTCATATTAATGCTTTGAAAACATTGACAATACATTTTTGTCTTAGCGATTGCCTGCTTTAAGCTTAGAGACTAATGCATTTGAAAATAAGAAGACAAAGCATCAGAGAGAAGTCTGTCTTCTCCCTGAGGATCAAGATGAAGAAATACTGCATACAGAATATTTTAAATACTGTTTGTAGAAAAATGATTTTAACCAATCACTTTCTCTTGCTGTCTTGTTGGTGGATTTTTTTTGACTCTTTGTCATGGTTGTATATCTGTTGCACCTAAATGCAGAAGTTGTGTATTACATGTCATACATGTATTTCCCTTGCCTTTTCAGAGGGAGATGGGATATTTTCCAAGTTTCGTATGACAACTGCCATTGAAAACAGTGCCACAAAGTGGGAATGCTAGTTAAAATTTATGTATAGTTAGATATATGACGAATTTCTTCTAAACATTTTAAAAAAATGGAAGCATGCACTATAGATTAAGTAGCATTTATAGTCTAAATGGAGACTGAAGTCCTGTATAGCCCTTCTCTGCACAATACCTGTGTCCCTTTTTCCATTCACAGTATATGAAACCCATAGCTTGTGAGAATATCCTACATGTTGATGACTCTCTTCAGAGACTGAAGGCCCCAACTCAATTATTTTTATCATAAGCTTCACATGATGTTGACTACTTAGGCAACAGCACTGACAGGAAAGGTGTAATGTGTGATCCTGTTGTCTCTGATATGAAGCATTCGGTAAGAGGAAAATGAAGATACAGTGACAGTCCAGTTTTTCATATAGATTATCAAATGCAGATTTGCATTGTTTTCTTGCTTGCTTTCTTTTTGTTTAATTTTTTTTTAATGGTTGTTTGTGTCAGTTTGGGAGTCTCTTGTTTTTTTCTTATTCTGCCATATTTAAGTTTTTTTCAGCTAATTCACAATATTAGAACTAGAAACAAAGTGCAGAAATGTCATAGAAGAGTGTTCTGGCAGTATTTCTTTCTTAGAACAGAAATAAAAGGACAGCAAACTGTGTAGGAAAGTCAGTCTCAAGAGCTTTTCGTACCTGTTTTGCCTGCTGCAGCAGTTGAGATTTGTATTCTGTCCTTTGGGGATTGATCGAGTCAGGGTCCCTAACACATACCATCAAAGCCTTGTCAAATAAAGGAGGAGCAAAATCTTTGGAGTTTGAGGTGGCTTTGCAGAATTCCTGAGAGAAAACACTTTTCCAAAATTATAACCTTATTTTTCAATGCACTTAAAGTAATTATTGTAATACCATGATTCTTTGTTTTCTGTTGTATAAAATATGAGAATGAGAGCCTTTTTGCATTCAGTTTTCTTCCTTGCACTTTTGAAGGTTAACCCACTTAAAGATTATCCATTAAGCTCACCTTTTTTGAAGTTTTGATTTATTGCATCCAACTTTATTTCTCTGTGTGTATGTATACCTATACTTATATACGTATATCCCTACATATCCACTCATAATTAGGATATATTTATTTAGTGACAGCTTCCCAATTCTAGGTGTATGTTACTGAGCAATGAGAATTATAAAACTGAATTGAAATTTATTTTAGATAGATTAATGAACTGTGAATAATTCAGTATTTATGACTGACTCTGTCACTGTGAAAGCTAGTTGGAGAAGCTGGATTTTTCCACAAAGAAGCATCTCAGTGACTAGCAAGATTTTTGATGTAATAATTAGGAATTTATGTTAAAGTCCAAAAATATGCTTTACTCCTATCTCGCCTTTGGAAAGGTGGACAAAATAAGGTTTTATTTCCAGGGTTGACCCTGTCAAAATCAAAAGGAGTGGAACTGGATCCATGCACTGAAAAAAATGAGCACAGCCGCAGGGATTCTCCGTGGGGAACAGGTATTGCCTGCAGCAGGAAGATGGCAGTGCAGTACATGGCAGAAACTTTTGTTGGTTTTGATGCTAATTTTGGTCCACCCACTTTGCAAAAGGTTCATTAGCTCAACCTACAGGGGATCTGCATCTTCTTGGTTTGCTTCTAGGATTTTCTGCTATCATAACAGGATGAACATACAGGTAAAACCTGTAATGTGTTAGTCCATTTTATGATTCCTGTTTTCCTAGGGTGAGGGTATGAGAGTCTTCTTGGATTATGTCAAGGATTTCTCTCAAGAACTGCTTGATGTATCTGGGAGGGTTTGGAAGGACTACTGTTTGGTTTTTTTTTTGTCCTAGAAGTAGTTTAGCAGGGTGCTACCAACATTTGGTGGGTACCAGAGTAAGAGAAAAGGGAAAAACTAAAATGTAGAAAGAAAAATATTCCTAACTCTAAAACACCTTTATCTCCTTGTGCTTTCTTCTTTCTGTTTCCTTTTTAACCATTTCTTCTGCCAGTTTTCACTGAGACCCGAGATGTGGACGAAACCAGAAAGGGAAGAGTACGCCTGTGATATTGTCAGCAGAAAATATTAAAGTCATAGCAATCCACTGCATGGTTTGTTAGTAAGGCTCATGAACTACAGAGATGTTTTAAAAGATGTCTGAACCTTCAGGGCCAGGTCTGAACTGCCTGGTCACCTCTTCCAGCGTGGTGCCTGGCTGGAGTTGTACTCTGTGGCTCCAGAGCTCCTCTTCTGGGTTTGGGGCAGTGGGAACCTCGCTGGGAGGGTGTAGAGAGTAATGGAGAGCCGTGGCTGCGTTTCCAGGAGGTCTTACCAACTTTTTATAAAGTATTTCAGAATTAGGGGTGGCACACTACTTGCCTTACAGAATAATCTTCTTGTAAGATGGGGGTTT